TTTTCTCTAAATTGATATTATATCCGATTGAACTTTTGTCACTAAATTATGTTTCTTTTTAGAAATTATTCCTATGTTAATTAGAAGACCCTTTTTTTCTTTTTTCATTAATTTATTGTGATATTAAATAGATAATTTGATTAACTAGTGTTCATGGATCAACCTTTGCTTGTCATTGCTATTAATTATAAGTATAGCAATTTATTTTTTATTGTGCTTGGCATGCATCACTAACTCAAAAGTTTCGGATACACCATTGGAGGAAGCTTCCTCGAATCTCATTCTGTTGGACCTCTAGGTGGGTAAAACCAAACCCTTAGAAGCCTCTATAAAGTATCAATCGAGCCTAAAAAATAAAAATATAGTAAAGTAATTCAGGAGTTATAAACATACTCTAAGGTTTAAGAGTCACTAATTGGTCCTTTCTTCTCTTTCTTAGAAGGTTAGGAAAAGGCATCATCGTCATTATCCCTATCCTTAAAAGATAGATTCACATTTCATAGCACAACATTAAAAAATTATATGACAAAATTCTTGAAATTCAAGCCAAAATCCTTCTTAAAAAAGGGGATGGACTCTTTAAGGTCTACAATAGAAAACCTCTTGCCTTAATCATCTTCTTCCTACTAGAAAAGGAAGATCCGATAGCTTGATGGCGTGAGAAGAGCTTGTCAAAGAGTAATAATAATATTACAAACAGCTTTTGTGCCATCTATTAGAGTGAGAATTTCAAAGTCTTTAATTAAGATCCATAGATACCAAGATGTACATTGACGGTAGTAAGAAAAGGGACATGAATTTCTTGATATAAACCGTATTGCCTAACAAAATGTTATGATTTGTTAGTCTTCACTGGAATTAGGTGTGTTTAGAAGAAACAATAATAGTAATAACAGAGTAATGCTAATATGGCAATAGTTAAAACACATTACCCGATGTGGCGATAGTTATAACAAACTATCCGATATGGCGAGGTAGTTAGACAGATTTAATAATCGGTTAGAAGTAATAAAAGGGTAACGAATACATTTTTGAATTCTTTCAATGAAATTATAGAGGAATTGTTCCCGAAATCTCTCTCTCTCAACTCTTTTCTTCTTTTTCTAGTTTTCCTTTGTTAAGTAAGAAATTAACATAAAAAGGTTTGGGTAGTAAGGTTCAATATAGAAACCATCGACAAGAGGCAAAGGGATCTCCTTACGGGTTATAACTAATCTCCAATACTCAAGATTGGTACCCTCCAGCTCATTGTGCAAAGAACAATCCCTATACCAAACGAGACCCATACTTCCTAGAAAGGAAAAGAGTCCAAGCTTCATGGGAAAGTTGATCAAAAGAGATTCCATTAAAACAGGAAGCAAAATCAACCTCATTCACTAGAGAAGTGCAAGTATGGAAATAGTGACCATATGTCACGAACCCAAAGATTAGCATTAAAAGAGAAAGATTTGGAAACAAAAGAAGAAAAATATATTATGGCTCAAAAGATTACTAATTATAATGGACCATAAGAATTTTAGTAAGAAGTAAGGGAAACGAACTGAAATAGACTATGATTGGCATAGGCGAAGAGAAGAAGGGCAAAAGCCGAAGACGATCACTCTTGAAAATTGCTATGGCTTTAGGAAGGAATCTAGAACTAACTATAGTACTCCTATAGTAAATCACATACTTACAAAGCCACAAGATATTAAAGCCCAGTTCTTGATATTAGGATTAGACAAAGAGAGCAAATTCTAAGCACGAGTAGTATATGCCTTCACGTCAATCACCTCAAGAGGAAGGCACTATTTGTAAGACAAATCATTGGCAACACAAACCTAAGAACGAGATAATTTTCTTCCATAAAAAGTACTTGTTAATGAAACCACATCAACTATGGTTGGTGATGATACGATTATTACTAGTGTCCCATAAAGAAATCACAGACTCCAAGAAGGGGAGGGTTGGGAGTGAGGGCATATTCTACAAGAAGGTCAAGGATTTGCCTTATCCTCGGCTCGTCCCACTTTACAAAAGAACGAGTGCAAGGCATAAACCTCACTCTAATCCACGAGCCAAGTTTTAGAAAGATGTTTGGAATAACTGGAAAAATTTTCCTAGTGTACGTCACGAGAAAATTTTAGGGCACATAAAATTTTAGCCTTAGCATCAAGAATTAATTCGCATAAAAGGTCGCAAGCCTAGGAAGAAATTCTATGAGATCGAGTCTTCGAAAGTGAAGGGCTAAGGGTAAAAAGTGACAACAAGGACTTCAACATATGGAGATTGGAAGGTAATTTATAGTTTTTCATTCATATCGTAGGCCTTGAATTTTAGTGTTTGGTTGTTTAAATTTATAGTTTGTTGCTTCAACATTGTTATTAAAATTGCAAATTAGATTGAGAAGCTTTAATTCTTCCTTAATTAGTAGTTTGTTTTGAGCTATTTGCCCTCTAGCCCCGCAACCCAACCAAACTTGGAAAGGTTAAGATTTCTTTGCAAAGGGTCTTGTAGACCATTGCAACCCTTTCTTTTTTTGTTTCACACTTTTAGTTTCCTTGCGATATCAAAAAAATTAAAATATCATAAATAGTATTTGTAGCTTACATTTATAAGTTAATTTGATTCATCTACTTGTAAAATTGAGGTTGATCGCTTCTGCAAAGTGCTTATGAATTATCTTTTGATTCTTTTGATACAAAGTCCTCTTAATTGAGGCTAGTACAAAACAAATCTGCAACACTATGATAAAAAAAATAATCAAAATTTTATACTTTCATATATCTCTTTCTAGGTAATAGCTTTTTAGCTTTTAAAAGTATTTTTTTTGTTTTTTTTATATGTGAATAAAAAGGTAAAAAAAAAATTCAAGTAGTTAATAAATAAATAACAATTTTGATTGATCTTACTTTTTACATATATAATAATTTTCTTTTTCATTTTTCAATTGAAACCAATAGAAATATCACACCTATGGTTTTATGAGACTCGAACTTCATTCTCTTCCTTGTCGATTTCCTCCAAGTTGGGTTTAGAAATCCTAAACAAAACTATTGGACTAGGATTAGTCTCTCTATTCGAGGCTCATTTATTCTACCTTTCAGCTTTTTATGGTGATTTACTTCAATGATAGCTTCATAACGTCCTAAAAAGTCCAATATTGTTGTAATTATACTATAATAGCAATCTCGAGTCTTAATCTCCCTAAAATCCTAGCAACCATGTGCTCTTCAAGCTCATTAATCTCATGCTACACATTAGTTGTTCAAATTCAAAAGCATATTCGTTTACACTCTAATCTTTCTATCTAAAAGTATAAAATCTAAGTTAGGTATCTTGTATACATTAGTAAGAAAAATGCTTATGATTTAAGGCCTTTTTAATCTTGTTCCATATCATAATTTTGCTCTTTCTCTCTTGGCTCCTCTATTTTGTCAAATTCCTTCACCACATAGAGGCATTCTTCTTTAACTTGATGGCCATAATCCCGACCTTCTTGTCATCCAAACATTTTTGTAATAAAAAATCCTCTCTACTATGTGCATCCACTCCTTGAAGTCATCAAGATTAAGCTTTCTTTCAAAATTAAGAATTTCCACCTTGACACTAAAATCATAAGTCTCGGTGACTTCTTTCTATATGCCCTAGCTGCTTAGACCGTTCTTTCTTTGAAGATTCATTTTGTAAGGGATGGAAAGGATTCTCTCTATGGACATCTTTTTTACCTTTAGACTCTCGACCATTTGCATCACAATCTATTTTATCATACTCTTGAAGTCTTTGTAGCAAACACACATTCTCACATTGTACGTCTACCATAAACATTCGGTTTGGTTATCTTCTTAGAGGCATCAACATAAAACTTTGTTAGAAAAATGCACGAAAAGCAAACCAAAGCTCTAATACCCGTTGACATCGACTTTCTAATGATTAGGTCAAAGCTCGAAACAATCAAACCCTTACTTGATGAAATCCAAAACTCAACAATAAAAGTAACCTTAGCTTTAGTAAATTTTAGTGAGGTTTAGAACCTCATTACAATCTAAGCTAACAATGATCAATAGCACAACTTGGTAGATCAATTCTAGGATACGTAAACATGAACTCTAAGATAATCACAAGAGTCATGCAAATTGAGAAAAAATTTCTCATAAATTTTATTCAATGATAAAAATATTATGTTTTTTGTATTACATAAGGATATTTAACTATAAAGGCATAAAGTCAACCAACTTGGACATAACCCTATGCCATTTGGACATCAAAACATTAAGCCTATTCGGCCACAATACACCTAACCTAAATCCAAACTCAATGAAGACTTAATAAACTCTAAACATAAATAGGAATTCTTATGAAAATAAGATAAATAAAACTATCTAAAAAATAAAGCATAATAAAAATAAATAGGCTAAAACAATTGGACCAAACTAGGCTTGAACATTCGGTCTAGAAAGGGTTTTATATTAAAAATATTTCACATGTTCTATTGTAATTTGGCAATTTCATACATTTATTATTAATTTATGTAATTTGAACCCCAAAATATTAATTTTTAGGCAAATAATACCCAAATTCTCTTTTTTTTGTTATTTGTAACTATCAACTCAGTTGATCGTTATGAAAATGCTTAAATGATGTTGTTTAAATATTCCATAATTATTTTAAAAAAATGTTAAAAAAAAGAAAGTGTTCATAATTAAGGCAATAAGACAAACGACATGTCGTCTATGTTATCCCCTAAATTCTAATTCTAATTGGAGAGAGAGAGAGAGCAAGAGAGTGAATTAGGTTTTCAAATCAATCATTTTCTCCCTAAAAAATCAAAAGTGATAGAAGCAAAAGACTAGGCTAGGGTTCGTAAGATAGCTAATTTTCATGTTCCTTGGTCTTACGGCCATCCTCCTCCTTATTGCCTCTGCCACTCGACTCCATTCTCTAATTCCTTAAATGGGTTGTCTACCAAAGATTTTAAGAAGCTCTCAAGATTTAGATTTTTCACTAAGACGAGACCTTAAATGGGTGCTAATCAAAGTTCACGTGTGGTTTGTCTTGAAAAGAGGAAACAAGGACAATGGTGTAAGCCTTGTTGGGTGTGGTCATGTGTTTCATGGAAAAAGTTTGGATATATACTTTAATTGGCTTGTTAAGGTTTTTGTTTGTCTTGTTTGTAGGAGACAAGTTGAATTGGATCATGGGGTAAAGTGTAGTCTATTATGGGACTTTTGTTGGACAAATGAATTGAGGGTTTGATAGATTTTTCCTTGTCGTTTTCTAATTGTAAGTTTTTATTAAATTTTGAATTTTTTTTTCAAATTCTAGGTAACAAATGAACGAATGGTTTCAATTCCAAGTTTTTAATACGAAAAGCAGTGTGCTTATTTTGGTATATAATTCTCTTCATACCATAATATTTTTTTTTAATTTGAATTTTTGTTATTGGATTCTTGATATAGCTTCTAATAATATAATTCAAACGTGACTACTTTGATCCGTTAGAATTGCATTGGTCAAGATTTCTGATTTTAAGAGGTTAGGGTTAAATTACTTTCCTTTAAATCGTTACCCACATAACTTCAAAATCTTTAGGAAGAACTCTGTAAGTGTCTCTCCCCCACCTGTGCGAATTAGATTCAGAATTACGAGGATAAGATAGACGACATATCATATGTTTTATCCCTTAATTTTGAATATATTTTTTTAACTCGTTTTTTTTTTTTTAAATGAACAGTGGAATGCTTAAACGATCAACTAGATTGATCATTTAAGCATTTCGTATAACGATCAATTGGGCTAATCAACACAAATAATGAAAAAAAGGAGATTTTGATAACATTTGTTCAAAACCAATATTTTAAAATTCAAATTACATAAATTGATAATAAAAATTTAAAATTATCAAATTAAAATAGAGAGGAAGCAATTTTTACCATAAAATCGCTTAAAAAGGCATAGGCCACACTCTCGTGTCAACTCCTATCCTATCAATTTTTGATAAAGACATTCTTGTGGTCTTAATGAGCAACTATTTACCTAACTCAAAAAGTAAGAACTTAATATGGATTGACGCAAAGACTGGTCCAAAGATATTTCATTATCTTTAATATGTAAAAAACCGTTAAGCAATTAGGTTACAATGTTTAGAGATTTTTTTTTTTTGAAGCCTTTTATTTATTAGAAATCAAAATTTTAATTTTCTTTTAATGGTTGTACGACATTTTTTTCAAAAGTGATAAAAATAAAAACTATATAGAACAAAATATGAATATATAAATATATGAGAGTATGAAATTTTTATAACATCACATGAGAGAATATGCTCAATATATTAACATAAATATATAAATTAACTCTTTAAATTAAGACACATGTATTCATGGACAATCACATTAAAATAGATGTGATTTATCATAATTGAAAAAATATATAAAAATGTAAATGAAAATCATATCAATTTCGATATGGTATATTAAAATAAGTGGCTTAATTTAAATTGTAGGGTACAAAGTTGTGGATACTTTTCAATAACTAGTTCAAGAAGTATGAACTTATTCTCTATTGACCGCGAAGGCTGGCTAGATGATGCTTCACTACTTACAAAAAAAATCAATAAAAATTGAGCAATTGGATTCCTATGCTTTGGCCTGCGAGGTACCATAGGTCCCCCGTTCATAATCAACTCAATTTTTTCGTCGATTTTGATTTTTAAAAACATGGAGCAACATATGTTTGATTTCTATTGATTTCAATATTTAAAAAAGTAATTAAAAATTTAAAACATATATTATAAAACAAAATTTACTATTATTTATTTATTTATATATAATTCAATTAGAAAAGATCGAACACATAAAATTAAAACTATCGTGAAAAATTAAATTAAAAAACCAAGCTTATGAGAAAAAAATTATTACCATCCATTGTCTTTCATAAAAAAAAAAAAAATCCATTATTTTTTTTCTTTTATTGAATAATATAAGAATTTTTTTTTTAATTGATTCAAAAGATCACTACATTATTTTTTTTTAATGAATTTATGATGATAAAAATAATGAAAAATTAACAAAAAAGAAAAAATTAATCAAAATTTTATACTATGATATATCCGTTTTCAGGAAATAACTTATTAATCAAAGTTTTTTTACTTTTTTAAATATTTTTTGTTTGTGTTTTGTTTTGATTAAAAAATAAAAAAATAATAAAACCTATAGTAGTAAATAAAAAAAAATTGGGTTTTTTTTTATTATTTTATTTTTTTCTAGAATTGGAATCAATAGAAATGTCACATGTAGGGTTTTATGGGACCTTATGGCAGACCTGGAAGAAAATAAAAAAGCATTAAAGAAAACTGGTGCTGTAATATACCGACAGACAACATCAATAAGCCACAGATGATGACGGTCGGTAGAGAACCCAAAAGACAGCGAGGTAATTCACCACCCACAAAAAGAAAGAAAGGAACCTTCGAGATAGATGATGGTTGGGACACTGATATGTTTGATTATGAAATTGATAGAATGATTAAGTTGTCTGGTTATGAGGGTAACCATGATCCCAAGACCGAGGAAGAATTAGTTCGTTATTTTGGAGATGTTCAAAATTCTAAGGTAATTTATTCTGATTGAAAATAGCAACAATTAAATTTTATTTATTTGATAATGTTTACTCTATTAGGGTTTTGACATTGAGAATGATGCTCCTTGGGTCGAAGGGTGGATGCACCTTGTTGATCATCTCCGAGGTCCGAAGGCTACAATCATTGAAAGGTGTGCTCGTATTTTTGTTCATCATTACAATGTGAAAAAGGTATAGATTTCAAAGCTACAGGGATCTTACTTGTTGTAACAGGCTAATTGAATTCTAATTTGAACTTTTGTTGATGTACGTAGAAGGGCAAGAAAATTCTCAAGTTTGATAAGGTTGTCAAGGCAACTCGGGCTATAGAATGTCTTTGAGCTTACTTCATAACCTTGGAGGCTAAAGAGGAATCTAAAAATGAGACAACAACTTATCAGGCCAGGGTAAATTATTATGGTCATAGGAATTCTGATGGTAAAGGATTTCGTGAAGGCTTTAATGTGCAGATTTTTAGGTCAAAAAATCCACAACTAGAAGTTAATAAAGGTAACAAATCAGTTTGTCTTTACTTTTATATCTTAATCAAGCATGCCTATTACTTACCAATTATCCTTCTTGTTTGTTAATTAATTTCTTATGATGGTTTAGATAACTCTTTTGTCTTGGTCATGCTATTTGGTTATGGCATCATCCATTTATGACTTTGTGAAGTCAAGGATCTTTTGGCCATTCCGTTTTATGATGCTTCCGATTTTCAGTAATCCAATCCTTCTAGCTATGGATGATCGATTTTAGTAACTTAAAGGGAGGATCATCCATAGCTAGAAGGATTGGATTACTGAAAATCGGAAGCATCATAAAACGGGAATGGCCAAAAGATCCTTGACTTCACAAAGTCATTATTGGATGATGCCACAACCAAATAACATGATCGAGACAAAAGAGTTATCTAAACCATCATAAGAAATTAATTAACAAACAAGAAGGATAATTGGTAAGTAATAGGCATGCTTGATTAAGATATAAAAGTAAAGATAAACTGATCCGTTACCTTTATTAACTTCTAGTTATGGCTTTTTTGGCCTAAAAATCTACACATCAAAGCTTTCATGAAATCTTTTACCATCAGAATTCCTATGACCATAATAATTTACCCTGGCCTGATAAGTTGTTGTCTCATTTTTAGATTCCTCTTTAGCCTCAAAGGTTATGAAGTAAACACAAAGACATTCTATAGCCAGAGTTGCCTTGACAACCTTGTCAAACTTGAGAATTTTCTTGCCCTTCTACGTACATCAACAAAAGTTCAAATTAGAATTCAATCAGCCTATTACAACAAGTAAGATCCCTATAGCTTTGAAATCAATACCTTTTTCACATTGTAATGATGAACAGCAATACAAGCACATCTTTTTTCCTCAGTCTTGGGATCAAGGTAAGGTTACCCTCGTAACCAGAAAACTTAATCATTCTATCAATTTCATAATCGAACATATCAGTGTCCCAACCATCATATATCTCGAAGGTTCCTTTCTTTTTTTTGGGTGGCGAATTACCTCACTGTCTTTTGGGTTCTCTACCGACGTCATCATCTGCGGCTAAGGTCATGCTGCTTATGTTGTTTGTTGGTTTTCTTTAATGCTTTTTTATTTTCTTCCAGGTCTGACATAGGGTCCCATAAAACCGTACATGTGATATATCTATTGATTCCAATTCTAGAAAAAAAATCCAATTTATTTATTTATTTACTACTATAAGTTTTTATTTTTAATCACACATAAACACAAACCAAATATTTTAAAAAGTCAAAAAACTTTGATTAATAAGTTATTGCCTGAAAAACGGATATATCATAGTAGAAGATTTTGATTAATTTTTTTGTTAATTTTTCATTATTTTTATCATCATAAATTCATTAAAAAAAAATGTAGTGATCTTTTGAATCAATTAAAAAAAAAAGTCTTATATTATTCAATAAAAGAAAAAAAAATGATGGATTTTTTTTTTTTTTTAATGAAAGACAATGGATGGTAATAATTTTTTTTTTTTGGGTCATAAGCATGGTTTTTTAATTTAATTTTTCACGATAGTTTTAATTTTATGTGTTTGATCTTTTCTAATTGAATTGTATATAAATAAATAAATAATAGCAAATTTTTTTAACAATATATATATTTTTTAATTTTTAATTAATTTTTTAAATATTGAAATGAATATAGTTCAAACACATGTTCCTCCATATTTAAAAAAATCAAAATCGGCGAAAAATTTGAGTTGATTATGAATGGGGGACCTATGGTGCCTCGCAGGCCAAAACGTACGAATCCAATTGTTCTTTTTTTTTTTTTTTTTTGTTAGTAGTAAATTATCATCTAGCCAGCCTTCACGGTCGATAGAGAACAAGTTCATATTTCCTCAACTAGTTATTCAAAAGCACCCACAACTTTGCACCCAACAATTTAAATTAAGCCACTTGTGCTAATTGATATACCATATCAAAATTGATATGATTTTCGTTTACATTTTCATATATATTTTTTTAATTATGATAAATCGTTTAAATCACATCTATTTTAATGTGATTGCCTATGAATACATGTTTCTTAATTTAAAGAGTTAATTTATATATTTATCTTAATATATTGAGCATACTCTCTTATGTGAGGTTCTAAAGATTTCATACTCTCATACATTTATATATTCATATTTTCTTCTATATAGTTTTTTTTTATCACTTTTGAAAAAAAAATGTCATACAACCATTAAAAGAAAATTAAACTTTTGATTTCTAATAAATAAAAGTTTACCTTTAAAAAATTTAAAAATGAAAAGGCTTAAAAAAAAAAAAAACTCTCTAAACATTGTAACCTAATTGCTCAATGGTTTTTTTTATATATTAAAGATAATGACATATCTTTGAATCAATATTTACATCAATCGATATCAAGTTCTTACTTTCGAAGTGAGGTAACTAGTTGCTCATTAAGACTACAAAAATGTCTTTGTCAAAAATTGACACCAAAATAGTTGACACGAGAGTGTGGCCCATGCCTTTTTAAGTGGTTTTATGGTAAAAATCGCTTCCGCTCTATTTTTTAATTCAACAATTTCAACCTTTTATCATTAATTTACATAATTTAAATTTTAAAATATTGGTTTTAAGCAAATGTTATCAAAATCTCTTTTTTTTTTTTTTTCATTTTTTGTATTAGTCAACCTAGTTGATCTGTTACACGAAATACTTAAATGATCAATACAGTTGATGATTTAAGCATTCCACTATTAAGTTAATAAAAAAATTAAAAAATATATATATATTCAAAATTAAGGGATAAGACATATGATATGTCGTCTATCCTATCCCCGTAATTCTGAATCTAATTCGCACGGGAGGGGACAGAGACAGTGACAAAGTTCTTCCTAATGATTTTAAAGTTATGTGGGCTACGATTTAAAGGAAAGTAATTTCGCCCTAACCTCTTAAAATCAGAAATCTTGACCAATCCAATTCCAATGGATCAAAGTAGTCACGTTTGAATTATATTATTAGAAGCTAAATCAAGAATCCAACAACCAAAATTCAAATTAAAAAAAAAAAACGCATATGGCATGAAGAGAATTAAATACCAAAAATAAGCATACTGTTTTTCATGTTAAAAACTTAGAATTGAAACCATTCATTCATTTGTTACCCAGAATTTGAAAAAAAAATCAAAATTTAATAAAAATTTACAATTAGAAAACGACAAAGAAAAATCTATGAAACCCTCAATTCATTTGTCCAACAAAAGTCCCATAATGGACTACACTTTACCCCATGATCCAATTCAACTTGTCTCCTGTAAACAGGACAAGCAAAAACCTTAACAAGCCAAGCCAAGCATATATCCACACTTTCTCCATGAAACACGTGACCACACCCAACAAGGCTTTTGCCATTGTCCTTGTTTCCTCTCTTCAAGACAAACCACACATGAACTTTGATTAGCACCCATTTAAGGTCTTGTCTTAGTCAAAAATCTAAATCTTGAGAGCTTCGTTAAATCTTTGGTAGACAATCCATTTACGAAATTAAAGAATGGAGTCGAGTGGCGTAGGCAACGAGGAGGAGGATGGCGGTAAAACCAATGGATAGGAAATTTAACTATCTTATGAACCCAAACCTAGTCGTTTGCTCTCTATCACTTTTTATTTTTTTTTGGGGAGAAAATGATTGATTTGAAAACCTAATTCACTTGCTTGCTATCTCTCTCCAATTTGAATTAGAATTTAGAGGATAAGATAGATGATATGTCGTTTGTCTTATTGCCTTAATTATGAACACTTTCTTTCTTTTTTTTAAACATTTTTTAAAATAATTATGAAATATTTAAACAACATCATTTTCGTAATAGTCAACTAAGTTGATAGTTACAAATAACAAAAAAAGAAGAAGGGAATTTGGGTATTATTTATCGAAAAATGGAGATTTTGAGGGTTCAAATTACGTAAATTGATAATAAATGTTTGAAATTGCCAAATTGTAATAGAAAATGAGAAACTATTTGTTATAAAACCCTTTCTAGACCGAATGTTCAAGCCTAGTTTGGTCCAATTGTTTCAACCTATTTATTTTTATTATGCTTTATTTTTTTAAGATAGTTTTATTTATCTTATTTTCATAAGAGTTCCTATTTATGTTTAGAGTTTATTTTAGTCTTTATTGAGTTTGGATTTAGGTTAGGTTTATTGTGGCCAAATAGCCTTAATGTGTTGATGTCCGAATGGCATAGGGTTATGTCCAAGTTGGCCGACTTTATGCCTTTATATTTAGACATCCTTATGTAATACAAAAAACATAATATTTTGATCATTGAATAAAATTTATGAGAAATTTTTTTCCCAATTTGCATGACTCATGTGATTATCTTAGAGTTCATGCTTCGTATCTTAGAATTGATCTCTCAAGTTGTGCTATTGATCATTGTTAGATTAAATTGCAATAAGGTTCTAAATCTCACTATAATTAAATAAAGCTAAGGTTATTTTTATTGTTGAGTTTTGGATTTCATCAAGAAATGGTTTGATTGTTTCGGCTTTGACCTAATCATCACAAAGCCGGTGTCAACCAGGTATTAAAGCTTTGGTTTGCTTTCCATTCATGTTTCTAACAAATTTTTGTAATGATGCCTCTAAGAAGATAACCAAACCGAATGTCTATAGTAGACGTAAAATGTGAGAATGCGTGTTTGTTATAAAGACTTCAAGAGTGTGATAAAAGGGATTATGATGGAAATAGCCGAGAGTCTAAAATTAAAAAGGATGTCCATGGAGAGAATCCCTTCCATCCCATACAAAATGAATCTTCACGGAAGTAAGGGTTTAAGCAGGTAGGGCATATAGAGAGAAGTCACCAAGCACTATGAATTTGGTGTCAAGTTGGAAATTCTTGATTTTGAAAGGAAGCTTAATCTTGATAACTTCATTGAGTGGATGCACACGATAGAGAGGACATTTAATTATAAAAATGTTATGATGACAAAAAGGTCAAGATTGTGGTCATCAAGTTAAAGAAGAATGCCTCTATGTGGTGGAGGAATTTGACAAAATAAAGGAGCCAAGAGAGAAAAAGCAAAATTATGATATGGAACAAGATTAAGAAGGCCTTAAATCATAAGTATTTTTCTTACTATTACGGACAAGATCTAAGCAAAATTAATCTATGGCATTGTCGACTTAGCCATATAAACGGGAATTGAATATCCAAACTATATAAAAATGGATATTTAGAATCATTTGATTATGAATCTTATTATGTTTACGAATCTTGTCTATTTGGCAAAATGACAAAACTCCTTTTTAGTAGAAAAGGTGAAAGAGTCGCCGATTATTAGGTCTCATACATAATGATGAATGTGGGCCCATGTCCACCCAAGCAAGATGAGGATATGATTATTTCATAACCTTTATGGATGATAGATCATATTTTGGTTATCCGTATTTGATGAGACACAAAATCTAAAGCATTTAAAGAGCTCAAAGAGTTTAGGTTTGATGTCAAGAAATAAACAAGCAAAAGGATTAAGGCATTTCAATTAGATCGAGATGAAAAATACTTACGCACCGAATTTTTAGATCATTTAAAAAAGAATGAGATTCTCGTATAATGGACCCCACTCGGAACGCCATAAATGAATGGTGTATTTGAAAAAAGGAATAGGACACTAATAGACATGGTTCGATCCATGATGAGTCAAACTAATATCCTTATTTCATTTTTTTATATATATACTCCTTACCGTAACATTTATTTTGAATAGAGTTCCAACAAAGTCTATTGATTAGACTTCATATGAGATATGAAAAAAAAAAGTAAGCAAATTTATCTTCCCTTAAGATTTGGAGGTGTGAAGCATATGTCAAACCCGTTTGGATAGAGACAAGCCAAAGTTCAAATTAAAAAAGTGTAAATTTATAGGATATCCAAAAGAAGCAAAATGATATTACTTTTACCAACCATAAGAAGAAAAGGTGTTCGTTGCTTGGCAAGTTGTATTCCTTGAGAAGAAATTTATAAATGCTAGGACCGGGAGGAGGAAACTTGAACTCGATG